ATATATACACACATATATTATTTCTTATTTTCTGGTAATACTGTTGGTAATACTACACCTACATGATGCTCCTCCACCTACCAGTGTTGGTGTAGTTGGGTTTGTTAGATGACGAGCTCATGCCTTTAGTGCTGCTGTTCGCCCAGCTGTCCCATCCGGCCAGCAGGTCAGGTTGGCTGGCTGATGATGTCATCTTTGGAGGGTCTTTAACGAGCTTATCTGCGAAGCCAAACGTAAGCGAGAGACACAGATGAGCTTCTGTTGACCGGTTAATCGTGATAGCGGTTAATAACATACTATCGTGATGGAATTATTAATATGCAAGAATGACAATAAAAACCTACTGAGGTTAAGGAGGCTGCTGTTAGACGCAGGAGTTGGGTTCCCGTGGCCAGAACTAAACCCGCTGGTGGCAGAACTGTCAGAACCCAACAAATCTCCAAACAAGTCTGGTCCAGAAGCCTGCCGAGACGAACCCACACTGGAGCCGATCCCAGAGCCAGATCCCACTCCAAATGGATCAAACAAATCACCCATGGCTGCAGCACAGACGGTAGGATTGAAGATTAATGGAAGACGTTTATGTCAATATAGTCACTAACTTTAAAAAAAACAAACAAAAAAAAGTGGTTTACGTTTTGAGTCTGGTGCTTCTGTGAAGAACAGATCTTCCTGTACTGCTCCAGTCTGTCCAGAAGAGGGCGCAAACAGGTCGCTTAGGAGGTCACTGTTACTGGAAGCAGCTTTCATACCTCCCTGAACTCCTCCCTTAGGAGCAGAGATGGATCTGGCAGATTGAGGGTCTGCGTTCAAGCCCAGGAGATCAGCCGTGTCACTAAGGGGTGGTTCCTGGGCAGCAGGGGGCGCAGTCTGTTGGAAACATGAGAAATGATGCAGGGAGGGAAATGTTTTTTGGTTGCACAAAATGAAAGAGACAACGAATTTCCTTACCTCAAAATCAGCATCAAACAGTGGTTCACTTGGGTCCCGTGACAGAGCCTCTCCACTGGGGGCAGAGTAGGACTCTCCTTCAGACTGATCACTCAAGTCATCCTGCTCGTTCGCAGTCTCCCCGGCGTGGCTGTCAGAGACGTCCTGGTGGCCACTGCCATCTACAGGGACAGAGATGTGGACATTTAGATTCACGACTTTGTCATCAACACTTACATCAGGAGACTCCAACCTTTTTGAAACTGAGAGCTCTTCCCAAACAAAGTGAAAATAATCAAAAAGATCTGGGACATATGATAGAACCCATTTGACTATCGCTGCAATTGTAACTGATCCAAAAAGAACAATGACAGTACAATTTTTGACCCTCTTGTTCTCTAGTTGTTTTTTGTAGAACATAACCCAAAGGCACATTAGGTGAACCATGGGGGCTACCAGGTGCCCCCGGCCCGCACGTTGGTGACCCCTGATTTAGAGAGTAGGAGATGCCAGAGTTTGAAGATCATGAGAATAAACAAGGGATGCACAAATACTTGTATCAGTATTGTACTGTATTCAAGTACTTCTACTCAGATATGCTATAGCTGAATACACTAATATATCTTCTCCGTTTACATCACAGTGGGCAGACGAGGAGTTCACATCTCACAAAGTCAATATTTAGGTTGGGCTTGTTGTTTGTTGTACAGGGTAAATAGTTCTACAGAGTTCAAGAGACAGAATTTCCAACTGAAATGAGTGGTTGGCATCAAAGCTCTGCTCACTTTCTGTTCACCTGCCTGTACAAAACATATATACAACAGATATATTTTATCAAATTTAAAGATCTTCTGTTAATGAGAAGAAAACAAAAGTCGCTGTAAATATCTTTCTCTCACTCTCCTCTACTAGAAAGGCCTAGAAGGGTCAGAGTACCTAAGAAGTATTTAGTTAAACAAATACGCACCGTCCCAGTCCAGTGTTTGGAAGAAGTTGTTGGCGTTAGTATCGGAGCTCGCTGGAGATTCTTCCTCTTTTGGAACGGGCTCTTCTGGAGTCTGGACAGGTTGAGGTGACTCGGAATCGTAAAAGGCTGAGGAACCCGGCTGACGAGGCAGCTCTGGTTTACCTGTAATACACAAGTACAATTAGAAATAAAAAAAATATCTCTGAAGATGTTCAAGGGAACATTATCATCCAAACTTAAACCCTTTGGAGCGGCTTGGTTTTTGCCGGATAATCCCACCTACCAAATTTGCTGAGGATCTCTTGCTGTTCGTCCCGAGTGGAGAAGAGGATTTTGGGGTTGAGGCCCTTGGTTTGGAAACTTTCCCACGGTGGTGTCTTGGTGCTGGGTCTGTCTCTCGGTTCCACCTCGATTTCCAAGTTTACCTGGAACAAGTCGGGGTATTTCTCCTGGATGTCACAGGCGTCCAAGTCGTACCTGACAGCGAAACGGGTCGAAACGACACATTAGCCAATAATAAAAAAAAAGACAAACAAATACAGACGTACACACACTATTACAATAGGTCCATGAGCATGAACCCAGGTACGTACTTGGCAAACTTGACATTGGTTGCATTTCTTGGCACGAAGCCTGTGTGGAACTGGATCTGAAACATTTTCATCGACGCCATCTGCAGCAGAGCAGAAAGAACAGTTACATTGAATAGAACTAGGACTAGAAATAAGGGCAGGGCCTTGAACTCAAATGTGTTTTTGTTTACTCCTATAGATACTACAACAGTGTAGTAGTCATTAGTAATTAATGAACAAACAAAACAGTTGATAATACATAAAAAAAGAAAGAAAAAATAGTCAAAAGCAACAATATTATATACGTCATAATTGACATCTAGTTGTGGGACAAATTTTGGGGAAGAACGCTGTCCACAATTAGCCTGCGGACCAGGAGTTTGAGACCCCATCTCCATAGTATCATTGTCAGTGAAGAGTGTATACCTTGGCCTGTAGACGGCCCCCCAGTGTAGACCGTGCATGGTAGATGACCACCAGCACGTCGCCCTGGACAGTTACGTTGAGAGGAATCTCTGCTCTTCCGTCTTCGCTCTTAAAATCCCTGAAAAAGAAGACGTAAATAAATTAGCATTTCTGGTTTCTCAAAAGAAAAACAGCAAAAGGTCAAAAGGTAGGATAGCCAGACCTACAGTCGACCAGGGCTGGGTATTTATCTAAATGTATTGTATATTCATGATACTGAGACAATATCAATCAATATAAATGTATATTGATTGATATTGACTCAGTATCAAGTAAAATTTAAAAAATAATCTAACATATATGTGTGTATATATATACGTACATACATAAATATATACAAATACATATATAAATATATATACATACATATATATAAATATATATACATATATACATATATAAATATATATATATACATACATATATACACATATAGACACACACATATATATATATATATATATATATATATATACACAAATATATATACACATATATATACACATGCTAAGAGCGATTAGCTCATTATTGTCTCGTTACCATTAGCACTGTCATTACTCGTCCAAAATGGTTGCTTTCATTTGGAGAGAACTCTCAGGGGTCGGACACACAAATAAAACGAAATATAAAATCCACATTTTTGTCTAATTTCCTGTCCAGATTGGACAGTTTAGAAGGACCGGATTCGGACCACGGGCCACCAGTTGATGATCACTAACCTGGAATTTCCTTCAGTGTCAGGATGTGGACTTTTTTTGCGCAGCTAACAAAACCTTTTGAATACTTCAACTTACTTCATCCTTTCGTACTCCTGTGACGTGGTGAGAACCCTCTCGTCGCCGACGTAGACCTCGCAGAACGGCCTGCAGCCGTTGCGCTGCTTGTTGAACAGAGGCACGGGCGTCATGGTGATAGAGTGGATTACTATAGGCTTGCTGTGAGGAACGATGGGCTCCTCCGCCATCATGTCACACATGTACTCGATATACCTGCAACAGGTGAGGGAGAGAAGGGGCAGGAGGGCAAGTTTAGGACCATGTAGGAACAGTGAGGGACAATGGAGGGAAGGACGTTTTCTACCTTTTGTGTGAGGGTGCGATTCCAGGTGGACAGCGCTTCATGGAGAACATGTAGACAGCAGCTTCAGCTGTGGTGAAAAGGCGACAGAAACACAGGAAGGAGCAAATGGCCACGGCCGACGCTGCTCTGCCGTCCTATCACCACAGAGAGAGAGAGAGAGAGAGAGACAGAGAGAGTGAGACCGAATTGCCCACTGACGTCATGATAATATATCATAAGAATGCTAGTACTCCCATTGCAACATGCAACAAAACCTTCATTTCTCATTACCATGTTTTACGATACTCTTACTCTTTACTACGGTACCTGAAAGCCCCTTTGTATTTCCTATGGTACCTGAACGCCCCCTCGTTACAGACACTCCCACTGAATGGGCCACTTATAAAAATCTATACTTTACATCACTGTTTCCCAAAGACTGGGTCACGACCCTCATGTGGCTCGCAAGAGTTTGGTTTTTTTTTGGGTCGTCTCGCATCATGTTTCCCAGAGTTCCTAGAGTTTATGAACAATGCCTATTGACTTGGGTCAGGAAGGTTTGTGACTTTTATAATTGAGACAAAGACTGGGTCGCAACCCAAAAGAAAAAGATCTCTTGCAACCCACCTGAGGGTCACGACCCAGTCTTTGGGTCGCAACTCTCAGGTGGGTTGTTAGAGATTTTTTTTTTGGGTCATCTCACATCATGTTTCCCAGGAGCTTACGCAGTTTTTTTTTTCCCTGGCTGAGAAAACTGGGTCAACTGGGTTCATGTTACTGCACTCTGTGTATGTATTCTAGCGTTGAAGATAGTAAGTTTACTGTTCCTCACCAGACAGTGGACTATGCAGATGTTCCTCTGGTCTTGTTTCAGCCAAAGATGCATGTTTTTACAAACATTGTAGAGACTGCGGAGGTTGGGGGCACGGCGCACCTGCCAGTTACACTCAGACACCTGATAAAAAAGACAGAAATGTGAATAAAACTGTGAGTGTGAAGGAGAGTGTGTACCTAATCTTAATCCTTACTCTGACCCAAACCTGGTCCAACTCCAAACTAAACCTGACAATACTCTTTCCTTGACTTGAAAAATGTCCCTACAAAGTCAAAAGGTCCCCACAACAAAGCATGTCCCTACAAGGACAGCCAGAGCTACAGTCGACCAGGGCTGGGTTTTTATTTAAATGCTGGGATATTGATTGATATTGACTCAGTATCAAGTAAAAATTCAAAAATAATCTAATATATATATGTGTGTGTGTATATATATATATATATATATATGTGTGTATATATACAGTATATACACACACATATATACACACATGTATATACACGTCTATACATATATATATATACACACATAAATATATATATATACACATATACATATATATATATATATATATACACATATACATATATATATATATATATATACACATATACATATATACACATATACATATATATATATATATATATATGTATATGTGTATATATGTATATGTGTATATATATATATATATATATACACATATACATACAATTTTTCGGTAATAAAAAATCTGAAAATAAGGCATCAGCACAATAATCCTATTACTACGTATGGTGTACAAAAGTAAAAAAGCGCCTCCCACCGGCAGAGGGCTTAAATCGATTTAGAATCAATATTGAATTGTGGGGAAAAGAATTACCATTTACTGATGAATCAATGTGTTAGACTCTCCCCTTCTTCTCCCCCTCCCTCCCTCCTCCCCCCTTCCCTCCATACCCTGTTGTGGAATCGTGACGGTCTGTACAATCTCCTGGAGAGGTTGTAAACGGCGTAATGTCCAGCATGGCGTGAATCCAAAAAGAGACGGACGTCCTCGATGTTGTTCTTGATCGCTGATTCAACCCCCTCTGCTGGAAAGGACATGCCCGTGCGCACACACACACACACACACACACAAACAAACAGGAGCATGTAGATTACACAAAACCTTTGCCCTCCACAGACCACATTATCAAAAGCTGAGTCAGCATATCAGTCATGGCGAAGTTTCTCTGTTTATGTTTATGTGCGTGTGTTGAAAGGTCATTAGCTTACCTGCTATCCTGGACGTGATGTAGGAAATATCCAGGTCGCCTTTGGCGTAGCTGTGTGTACACATAATCTGATATAAGTAGAGAACGTGGGTGGTGGAACAAAAACACAGTGATATGAGAGAGCAGAGAGGAATCAAACGATCAGACGGAAATCTGAGACTCTACGCTAACACGGACGCTAAAACGGCTGGGTAATGGAGGAAGGAGCACGGAGACGGAAAATTAAAAAAAAAATCTCAAAAGCTTCACCAGTGAACTTCTGGAGGCGAGTGTCAGAGGGAGTCACAGTTTTGAGATCTGCTACGGCACTGCGTGGGTGATTGATACGAGCAGATTGGAAGGACAGTGCATGTGGAGATGGTTCGGGAAAAACGTGCTGAGGAGAGACCACGGAGATATCGGACAACACATGTCAGAGACGGAGGTGCCCAGCAGGGGGAGAACCCCGGCGGAGACGGAGGGATAAAGTAGGATTAGATGTGAAGATGATGGTGGTAACAGCAGAGATAGAAGAGGAAGAAAGAGAAAAAGATGGAAAATTGGGAAAATTATTTGGGAAAAAAAAACACGGAGCCGGACTGAAATAAAAGCGGTCAAAGTTGACACGTCTTGTAAAAGTTACTTTACTTAAACTGAACCTCAATCTTCACAGAACACATCCTGATCAACAGAATCTCATCTGCGTAGCTGTGTAGCACGTTAGCAGCTAACCGTTAGACTGGTAGAATTCACATATTGATCATTGCAGTGTTTGTAATGTCTGTATTGGGTTAAAGGTGTAGATGATGTCACAGGTGCTTGCAGAGTTTAGTAAGCGGTGACGCAAACGGCGTTCTTCACACAAACATTCATTCAGGAAGTGACACGTCTGTCTGTCTGATTTTTTTTTTTTTTTTTTAGAATTCTCCTCAATCTTCACTCAACTCCATCAGTAAAAGACAAGTATAATGTTAGGATCTTGAGCAACACTACACAGCAGGTTTTGTTTTTTTCTCACTCCAAGTCAAACACAAACTATGGACGACACACACACAGAGCAACGCCACAGCGGATGCGCTGTATGGAAACATATTTACCTGGAGTTGCTACATGATGGACACATATGAGGACCATGAAGGATTGGGAAAGAGAAAAGAAAAAAAATAAACAAAAACAGGCCGACCAACGAAATAAAAGGATGACGACATCCACATGAGACATTGACCGTGATACACACACACAAACACAGGGAGGGAGCGACAACAACAACAAGTGTATACCAGGGAGTATTATTTTCTCTGAAAATACTATACAGGAGTACTGCAGTGTGAAAAGGTATTCCCATTGTTTGTGGGTGTAGAGTGACATGGATTATACTGTGACAAAGTAATGACCGTCGACTCACTCGTTTAGAAAAATTTGTACTCGTTTACACTAAAAATGTAAACAAAAAAAGTACTTCTCTGTTGAATATTTGTACATGTTATAAATATAATAATGAGATTACGTCATTTCATGACCGTCCATAATTCTTAAAACTGATCATGTCTCTGTCCGTTCATTTTTGTGTGCCCCCCACTTTGAGAACCACATTGCTCAAAATGCAGGGGGAAAAAAAATCTGGGGTACAAAAAAATAATAATATCTGATTAGTTAAAGCTGAAGTGAAACATGGTCAGTGACAACGACAGTCAAGGTCAATAGGTTAAAACATCGTACCTGGCTACTGACTGGATGACCTTAGAGGACGTGTCCTTGATGTTGGTCAGGAAGCGCTCAGTTCCTCCTCTCAGGATGTCAAAGAGTCCGCTGCTGGCCTGATCGGGATCGTATATTCCTGAAGGTTTGTAAAAAAAAAAAAAAAAAATATTCAGGTAAGGTTTACTTACAGGGTAAATAAACACATTCTAAGCCCCGCAGCAGATGGTTGACAGTCAGTGCAGAGATCCTCTTAATGAACACTTCACTGTCTGCTGTCAACTGACTGTCAACTGACTGTCAAGCTGGAAGAACAGAATTAAAATCCAAAGTTTACAGATTTAAAACTCCCATTACTGTCATTGTGACACGGTACGCCACAGCAGGCAACGACCTGTGACCTCTGCTTTTAACCCATCACCAAAGACAGCAGGGGGTGCACCAGGGAGCAGTGTGTGGGGACGGTGCCATGCTGAATGGCAACTTGGCAGCTGGTGGACTTAAACCTGAAACTTTCCAGACCCAAGTCTGCTTCCTTAACCACCTAGCCACCACTGTAACCCTCATCGTTTAAAAAAAAAAAAAAAATCTCTTATCACTTATATCCAGGCCAAATTGTTGCTGACTTCCCATTGGCTGCTCACAAATACCGCTATATATTTATTTAAATACAGAGTGAAAAATACTAGTTTTACTTCTGCGACCTTGTCGTCACCAGAGTCACTACTTCAATCAAAGCAGCACAGACGCACACAAACCTACAACCGCAATAACAGCGCCGCCCGCAGGCCAAACTTAGTTCCGCATTCTCATCCACGAAAGAAAACAAACGGCGGCGTCTTACCTGCGTTGTTGTGGACATTGTGGATCTGCATCGTCGGCTGTGCTCCATTGTTGCCGAACCCTCCGTTCTGCTCCAGTAGCTGCAGACATTCATATCCATCATACAGTGGACGCCAACAGTAGTAGGCACTTAACATGGTGATAAGTAGGTCAAAAAGAATGAAGACAGAACTGGGGAAAAAAAAACGTAGTCCCCAAACTAAATACTAAATACACGGCGTCTGGTCATGTGACGCAATTTGGTACACGATCACACGCCACCAGCAGAGAGACCTTTAAAACCTGGATTCATCCTGCGATGAATTAAAATATTTCCCTGTAAAATCGCAGCATCTCGGTGTGTGTGAAGCGTAGCCTCGATGTTGCTCTCCGTCTTTACGAGATCTACTTCCATCTTCGTTCCCTGCCCTGCCCTCTCTGTGCCCCACCTCTCTGTGTCACTCTAAAAAGCAGCAGTAAATGGTGGTAATGGAGGAGGAGGAGGAGAAAAAAAGTAGGTTTCTAATCTTCTTAGGAGGGGGAAACCCTCCACCCCCGCCGCCTCCCCTCCTGTCTAATCTTAATCAGATCAGGAACCGTCAGATGTGCCGTCAGGCTGCACACTGTTCTCAGTCTCAGATTCTGGCGAGACGTCACACATCTGTCACAGAGCCTGTATTTACTGATTGAAGTATTTCAAGTGAACATGGAACTACACAGTAACTTTTCAGAAATCCCAAGTAACAAATATAATCCACTGCCTGGAATTTACTTCCAAGTCATAGGATGTTAATTGTGGCTCATTTACGCAGCTGCTAAAATCAGATAACGGTGAAAAACTACCTTAGGTTAGACGGTGGTTACTAAGCAGCTGTGGTCGACTGATGAGACCAGTGTCTCAGTGAACTGACGACTAGTCCTCCGCTCTCTGTGACTCACTGCTTCCTTGGATCAGTCATGACCTTGATCCCAGCTGGATGTGGAGGACACAGACCCTTTTGTACCGGCCACTGCGTGTGTGTGTCTGTGTCTGTGTGTGTGTCTGTGGATGTTAACTGTGAAGCTGAGCAACAGTAACCATGGGTGCACATAGAGCTTTGAGTATCATTTTAAAAAGTCTGTCTCTCTTTCTCTCTCCACTCACATACAGTAAATATACACATACATATATATATATATCTAGATATATATATATTTATACAGACATATATATATATATACATATATACACATACATATATACATATATATATATATACACAAAATATATGCATATATGCATATATATATATATGTGTATATATATATGTG